AAGGTATTGAAGATATTAGTTCGTTCCTTCGTGATGATACAGATGCAGCAGAAGGTAGTGAAGATATCAGTTCGTTTCTTCTGAAGGATGTAAATTTACCCGGAAATAATCAAATAGGTATGTTTGTAATATTGTCCTTAAAAAATCATGCTTCATTTATAAATTTAGTAGTTGAAAGTCAACAAGGTCAAAAACGATCATTTGAACATCATACTGATACAATGGAAAATGAAAAACATTCGGATTTATCAAATGATGTATCTTCTGATGATATGCCAAATTTAAAAAGAAAATTTGTTGAACTTGAAGCTAAACTCGAGATGTTAAAAGCTGAATGGATGCGTATGTAATATTTACTATTAAATTTTTTCATATTTTTTTTACAAAATATGTTCTACGAATATAAATAAATATTATCAAAATTTAGGTTTGATCTGATAAGTTTTTCTACCATTCACCACATAAAAGATGTAATACTCTTTATTCTTAATTAGTTGTATAGTTTTCTATTTCGTTTTGAGAATTACGCTGTATTTCTTGGAAAGAAAATAGAAGTTTTTCATCATTATAAGATGATTGTTATATTAATAGAGCAGAACAGTTCTTTCCTTTAAAAAAATATTATACTGTCTATAAGAATTTTCGCCATGTCGACTTAATCATTTGTTCTATTTAGCTCGTCCAATTGATTCGAAGGTTATCCAACATTTCAATGAAACAATAAATATATCACATATTGATAAAGAAAATACTATTTTTCATCAAGATACATCACCAGTGGACATTATGCGTATACTCAATATGAATAAAGATCAACTTAAAATATGTAATAAAAAGTCACCAACAGCTACTGCACGTTCGGTAATAAAATTTATTTTTCCACATCCTGATTCTAATTTCGGATATTCTCAAGTTGATAAAATCATTATTGATACAATTATCCGTAAGTTCAGCCTTGTTTGTTTTTGCAATCGAGTAATGTTTTTTTTTACGTAGAATACACAAAGTTTTCAAATCCTAATGATGATACATCTGATGCAAAAATTCGACGAGCAATCAGTAACTACTTTTCGTATTTAAATTACCAAAGGAAAATAAAAGGAAATCATTATGTGTAATCAAATTGTTAAAGAATCAAAGTAGAACAGTATATAAACATTTAGTAAAAGCTGAAATAAAAAAAGATTCTTTTTTTTCTCTAAAATATTTGTCGAATACAGCTATTTTTCTTGGTTTACTCTATGTCATTAGATTTCTTTTACTTCTGTTTTCAAATTTACTCTTGTGCAAAACTTTTTTTTTTTTTGTATATGAGTGTCCATGTGAAAAATTTATCTAGATTGTCGCCAAATAATCGATATTGCATTAATTATAATAATATGATTATAATTAATTAAATATCAATTATTTGATGAATATCGAAGAAAATTTTTTTATTTGAATGAAAATGATATTATGTATTTACATCGATGTATTATTAAGAGAAAGATATTCAGAAAGTATCTTTTACTTTTTTCCCATTTATACTCAAGATGCTTTAATTTTTTTTCGTTTTTTTGTATTTGCTGCCAACATTGTTTTATTTCCTTCATTTATATAGCTTTATCTTGTTCTTCTTTCTTTTTTTTTTAATTTTATTTTGTACATTCTATCAGAAGAACGTTACGTGAAAACAAAAAGTAATCAGGAACGAAATACAAATGTATTACATCTTGAAATGAAAATCTTCCTTTTAATTATCTATTAGTGTACCGGCTAATCCATTTCATACTAAAATTAATAACTTGCACGGCTAAGTGTTTATTTGCACTAGTGGCGGAGCCAGGGTGGGGCTGGGGGGGGGGCTCAGCCCCTCCCAGGAAAATTTTTAAACCATGTATTTTATTTGCTAACCGGGGCTCAAAGGTCCCTCAGAGGGGGTTGAGCCCCTCCCAGCTCAAAATCCTGGCTCCGCCACTAATTTGCACGAAGATGAAAAATATAATCAACAAATGAACGATAGTGGAAGAAGTATCAAAATTTAATAATGAGAACATTATAGAATGAAATGACACTAATCACTATTTTCGCTCGAATACTTGTTTCTTTTTACAACAGCAAATTCAATATGAATGATAAGACTGATAGTAGTTTTATAACAAATAATGTGACATTGTGTTGTTTATGTTTGCTTGGCTGTACATATCTTGCAAATTACAGTTAAAAGTAGGAGCTATTTGATTAAAAAGAATTTTATTTGTTAGTTGCAACAGTTATAACTGTTTATGTTCCCTCCAAAAAATCAAACAGGAAATATAGACTGTAGAAAGAACTCTGCTTTTTCAAAAGAACAGATAAAATCTATGTTGAATGGATATATGTATATATTGAGATGAAGGCGGAGTCCAATTATAAGAAAAATTTTATTGGACTGATGAAAATGATGCAGCTTCGTGAAGGATATGTTATATAATTGTGATATTTATATTCTCTTGACAGTAACAATGATTTATCAACTATATCTGTAGTACTGCCGTCGACTTGTTTTGAGGTAATCAAATGCGACGAATTACAACATTTTGTTAATGACTAAACTGTAAGATCTTGTACGTACTATGCGAACAAAAAGTGAATTTAGAAATGTGCTGGTGTTTTCTTGTGGCAACATCAATCATATTTCTTAATTCACTTTTAATTCATATAGTATGTACAAGGACTAACTTCTCATGTGAAGTGTTGAGCAAATATATTTTCATCAAATTGTAAGTGGTGTACCGAAATGAGATAAATTAAGAAATTGTGTTGTTAACCTTGATAGAGAATAATTATTGAATGACTAAAAAGTAGTATCGACTATCAATATAAATAATTTCGCATCGATAGGTATTTATGTTTTTGGAATTAAGTTCCTTATTTTGTAGATTTAGTTTTTTATACATTCCAAGAAGTCTAAATTGCTCAAGCGCTTCTAATTTATGTACTTGTAGCGATTAACTTCGACAATAGGACCTCTTGGACTTTGCATTTCATATAAGTTCGCTGCAAAAGCAGCACCTCGATTAATGAAAATGATTTCTTATTCATTTGAAGCCATCGTGCTATAAATAAAAAACGAACACGGATATTTCAATTATATTAAAGTAAATTTTTCGTCTTAGGGCTAGATATATGTTGTGTTATTGTTCGTGGTATTTTTCTAACTATATAACTATATTTCATCTAATTAATGTTGAAAATGGTCCACGATGTTGAAGTTCTTAATAGACATAAAAAAAACATCAAAAGACACGCAGAAAAATAGCAAAACAAAGTTGACAATGAGAATAAATAAAATAAAATTCACGCCATTAGTATTCTTAAGTGATGAATAAAAATTGTCATTCAGATAATCACTAGTAGTGTAATTCTGTTTTGAAAAGAAGTAAATGGTGAATTTTCATATTCTCATTGTTTTGATGATAAAATGTGGACCATGGATTTAGTTGATGCGCGAAAATAATAAGGTAATAAAAATAACTAGAATAAAATGAGATGAATCAAAAAGAAATCTCTACGAGAAAGACATGAAGGAAAATCAATATAATTCAAGTTAAATTTCACTCAGCATGCGTTTGTATTGAAATCGATTGATCAGATGTAGATGAATAGTCCTCCACATGAGTACGTAAAGAATTTCGAGCAAATTTAGTTGATTGCCTTCTACGTTCTTCAATAAGAAAATCCGACAATTTTTTTCGTAATACATTTTTGTAAAATAAATCATATTTGCTTGCGTCGATTCTATATCGAATTCGAATAGCATCTTAATAAGAAAAAAAAATAGATATCTGTTCGTACTGTTGAAGCCTACACAAAATACTGTTCATACCATTGACCAATTGAAACTTTTCTAAGTTTAAACATGGTCGAGCTAAATAGAATCTTTGTGGTGGTAAAATGTGAGTTTTCAATTCATCAGTCGTGAAAACGATTTGCATAGTTTTCCTCGCAAAATCACCAAACGATGAAGCCATTGTTCGTAATAAATCGATGTTTTTATACAGCTACAATAAAAAAATTCGATTTCATGAAAAAAAAAGAACTATTTTATTTTTTACAAGCTCTTTAGGAAATGATTCATTATTTTCATCTCGATATGAATCAAGTAGTACTTTGTTCTAAAATGGAAAAATTAATTGATAAATTTGACTAAGATATACTTAACAATGATTGATGCTGATGATAAATTATCAATTTTTTTTGTTAGATGAGCCATTTTTTGATCATTTGTATTACTCATGGAGAAAAGTTTGTTTTCCAGGTTGGCAAACTTGTTTTCGATTGTATTTATAATGGAAATATCTAATATAAATGAACTGTTTGTTATGGATGTCTTATAAAAATAAACAAAATAGCCGGTTTTTTAAGTATAATATCATATCATTCTAGTTTGCTCGCTTAATATATTGTATCTACACATGTTGTAACTCAAACTACACTGAAAGCTGCAGTCATACACAATGACACTGTTTTGGTAAAGGCACGAATCTACATCATATACTTTGCTGCGGGTAAAATTTGCGGCATAAGCGGAGTTACTCAAGCTACTTGTGCTGTATGTATAAAGAAACAACAATAGTAACATGATGAATTAATTAAAATCTTCCTATGTCGCCTGTCTTTATCATAAAGACATTTAATATTAATCGCAATTATACTTACCGGAAACAGTTATTTCTGATTGAGTGTTTACTTTGTTGAACGTTTTATGTGCATCAGCTATAACAAAAGAAACATGTAGAATGAAGATAATATCGGCAAAATCTATTTTTACTATCAAGTTTTTTTATTTTTTTTCTTGTACCATCAGGTACGTGTTTTCTTTTTTTTGTTAAACCTTTTTCAATTGAATCGAAATGATTATCAAATATTTCACCATTTTCACTATCTTTTTCATTCTCTTCTTCGTTATCTTCTGCTGAAAATGAATTATAAATATATTTAAAAAAATTAACTAATATTATGTTAAAATTATCTACATAAAGAAGGCAAGTCATATTCGATTGATGAACTAGTTCCATATTGAGATTGTGTAGTAAATAAACGTTGGCTCGGTGTGATGCTACTAACAATTTCATCATTATATTCATCTAATTCTTCTTGTTGTTCATCAAGATCGTCTATAATATCATAATTAAGTACCTACAAGAGAAAGTAAAAAAAGAGTTACTATTATTAGTATTATCTTGTTGAGATAAACGTGTTCGGCGTCCGAGTTCTTTCTCACAGCCATCAAGAGAATCTATGAAAACAACATAAGAAAAAATTGAGTTGCTAAGTCAAACATTACCGACGTGAATAATTTTTCCTTGAAAAAATTTGTTTCGAATAAGAACTTTTGCAAAACCTTTTTCGTCGAATTTTTTTATACTACTTCGAGCAGCAATTTGATAAGATTCAGTTTCAATAAAATATAGCAAGTAATAATTTGAAATCACGTTAGATGATTGTGTTGGTGTGAATATAGTATGAGGAACGCGCTTGCGGCGATTGACATTTGTAACTGTTGAAACATCCATGTAGAAGAAAATATGTCTAAAAACATTTAAAAATAGCTATCTTTTTGCACTAGGAGTTTTCTATTTTATATAGCGTTGTTATTGACCATCTAATGTTTAAGGCTGGAAATTTTTTAAAAACAGAGGCGCAATATCTAAGTATTATATTAAGCGTATCTCTTCTTTTAGTTTTAAAGGAATAGTGGAGTAGACCAATAACTACACTAGTATGTTGAAAGAAAAACGTATTAATATAAACCTTCAGAAAGATCTCTATTTTAGCAACTGATCAAAGATCCATTTTGTAAAGCTTACAACATATTCTGATTAATTGTAATAGAATAACTATTTCTCATTTATTCTTCTTTGAAATCAGATAGTTTAGCAAGTCAGCTATTGTTTTATCCAAGTGAAGCCTAGTCTCTAATCACTGATAAATAACACCACATTCTGGGTATAAATGCTGATCTTCTTTTCACTTAAACGCCAATTATACACTCCTATTTTCAAATGGAATGTGACAATAAACTTGTGAAATTGTTTCACTTGTATTTACTTTTAACAAGTGTTCACATAAATCCAATTAAGTTAAAACAATGCCTCATCTATGAATCATCCTCATTCTTATCATTGGATATCTAACTACTAATGATAAGGTTAAATAACTTTTTTCTTATTTGAAAAATACTATTCAGCTTTACTTTAGTAAAAAAAGGACACTTTCTATTATAGTAACTATGAGGAACATAATTAAATATCATACTAGAACAAAATGTCTAATCTCACGTTATGTGAATTTAATATTCCAGACAGGGATAAAAATTGTATAATAACACTAAAATGCATTTGGATTGTAGTTACTATAGTGATATAAATCGGTGACAAAGAACGATAAAAATTCTCAGCTTGTAAGACATGAAAAGGGCTATTTTTCACCAACAGTAAAGATATTTTTCTTGTTAGTTAGCAAGGTTACATATATTCGAGTCGAATTGCAGCTGTCATTACTAAACTAATAAACTCAAAATATAGACTGTTATTGCCATTACTGCACTGTGACATCCGAATTTTAAGATATTTCCGTTTACGCAATATGTACTGTATCATAAATCTAAATTTTAACAGATTCTTCTCTTTTACCATCATACTTGAATAGAGCTTGCCGAGCTGTATAAGAAAAAGCGTGCTTCAAAATAAACAAGCGTTTTACAAAAATCAGAATTTTGGGATCATTTTCCATATGTCTAACAATACTGGCATCTTGGACTTCATCATAAAATATTTGTTTTTTTTTTTATTTAAAACATACTTTTCCGTATACAATTCGATGAGTTATTTTCAACTGTCATGAAAAAAGCAAAAACCTGCTCAAATCTTGATATGTGAGCATACAGTATCTTGTGTAAATCTCTTAGAAATTCAGATGTCTCCTTTTAGGAATCGCAACACAACCTCAACTTTTAATTCGTTAGTTTAGTGATGAGAGCTATAGCTTTATCCGAATATAACCGACCTTATTAACTAGCAACATAGATACCCCATTGCAAGCTTTCTAAATGTTCAACTCATCTGTTGACTTGTTCTCTTCTCCGTACAACATATATGCCTATTATTCGACCCATCATCTATGCAACTAATCATATGCTTTTTCATTTATATCAATCACTAGTGTAACTTACCCGTCCAGAGGTAGGAACTATTTAAGATATACTTGAAACATACTACGCTATTCTGTACAAAGTAGAGGTAAAAAAGATTTCTTTATTTTGGAACAAACTACTATAATCTATGGCTGGCGTCTCGATATCTGTTGGATATTATTCGTCAATATAAAATTTAATTATATGATCTAATTACAAATATTATTCTGAATCAATTGAAAAACCTTGAAGTCGTTTTTTTTCACTTAGAGTGATGTCAGAGATGGACTGTACTAGTAAATTACGCAAACAAATTATTCGAAATAAAAGTTCGAAACTGGCTGTAAAAGCTCAAAGATCAGAAGATTGTTGTTTTTACTCGACTTTCTCATCTGTCAGTTAGCACGTTTTGAGATGTGTAAATGAAGAGATGAGAAACATGTCATTATCAGATCATATTCATCTTAAATGAATTGACATTTTCTTCTTCCTCGTTCAATGTTCTTTGTTTGCAGAGAAAGACTATGATTGCTTCATTTGAATCAGCTAATCAGATAATTTAAATATGGAGAAAATAGAGCATTAAAATCAAAACTGAAAAAAAATGTTTTAGTGATTGTTCGGATATAAACAGATGTATTAAGAAATAAATATATTTGACGATCATAATAAAAATAAAGTTTTCTCAAGATAAAAATTTAATCTAAATAAAAGTTACGAATATTGCATCTCGTTAACAGAAAAAGTGTAGAAGACTAAAACTTAGTGTGTACAATTGTGTAAAATATTAAGGTATGTTGTGTTAATATAACTAACTTTGCTTTGGGTAAAAGCGGTACCTGGATATTGTCTAATCCCTTTTATTTCAATGATGTGAAGCTAAAAGACCGAAATTAATTTCATTTTAAATAGTGCAAATATGATTACTATTTAATTTAGCTAAGAATCTTCGAGTAAAGTGTTATTCCAAGAGAACAGCTACACGAGTCTTTTATCTGACTTATATATGAGGATGACTTTAAATTTCTATCCGTGTGCTAAAGAGAGCAAGTTAAAATACTTCAAGTACAAGCAATTCAACCAGACATCAAAAACACAAATAATAAAGTTGGTTAATCACTTTCTTTTTCCTTTAATTGTGCTCGTAATCTTTAGAAATAGGAGTTACAACAATGAAATTCTCTTTTTCAAAGACAATGCACATGTTCCATATATTCTGGATTGGCACATAATGAAAAGATGATGGCTCTGGTTGAAGAACGTAAAAGTAAGCATCAATGAATTTTGATAAAAGAGAATAATAAGGTGTAGAACCGAAGATATTTGAAAATAAATTTTGATTCAAGTGGTTTTTAATAAGAGCAAAATTTGAACCCTTAAATGTAAAAAAGAATTCGATCGATCCAAACAATACTTGATGATCATTTTTGGTATATGTTACGAAATAACTTTTTGTTGATTGACGTCTTGAATAACTAAGTGAATGATACGTTTTACATTTAATTATACAACGATTGTAGATAATAATGCAAGTTTCGATTTGTTTACAACCACATACATTTGCATGCCACATAAGAAGTTGTTCTACACTATATATTGATCTAATTGACGTATCAAATGGTCCATCTTTAATATTCATATTGTCAACAATTGATCGATCAAGTTTCTTTCGTAAAGCAAAATCTATCTAAAAATAGAGACCATACAGCATGTCACTAGGATCAAATGAACGACTCACGTTAAAGTAATACATAAGTAAATCACCCCAATGATGACTACCATGTTTATTTTTCGAAAACGCTCCAAGGAAGCTCTCTTGAGCGAAACAGTTTGTGTTATTTAAACTACCATACTTATTATATTGTGTTAAAAAATGTATGTGCAAATGTGGTACTAGATTTTCCAGTCCATCATAATATTTTTTATGATCTTTATAATAGGCAACTAGCAGTTGGTGAGCTAATTGACCTGTTTCCGAGCCAAATTGTTTCTCACCATGTAACATCTATTTAATATACATATATGATAGAAAGAGAAGTAATTATTTGACAAGAAATGACATACCCGAATAGCACATACGAACAGAGAAATATGAGCAGCTTTATCTGTAGGAAGATATGAGTAAAACAACGGTATAATACCATAGAAAAGAAGATTTTTTATTTCAGTTGCTCTAGAAAAAAAATCATTCGGAATAATATCATAATCTAGATTAACTGTATTCCAAAGGTAAACTTTCAACTTTAATTTCGAAATTCAACAATTGGAAGAGAATATGTCATGTTCTTATCTAGAGAATTTTATTACATATCTTTAAAATAAGTTAAAGTCAGTAAAGTAAGAATTTCG